GGTCTATTCTATACCTAGTCGGTGGTTGAATCATGTTGATTTCAGAATTTGGCGGGAAGTGTGGTTAGTGCTGTTCAGTACTGTTACATACTTATAATACTTGTATAAATGTTCTGTGTATAATAAGAAAAGATTCTTGTATACTTGGTGAAATTCTTGTTAATATAATGCCTGACGTGACAATTAACAATGTTATTGTTAATTTTCCTTTCAAACCGTATTCTGTTCAAGAAGATTATATGGCAAAAGTGATAGAATGCCTTCAGAATAGCAAAAATGGGGTTTTAGAATCTCCAACTGGTACATTGTGGCATCATATTTATTATTTCTACATACTATTCATCCTTGGAAATGAAAATTAATTGATGTAAATATTTTAGGTACAGGGAAAACATTGTGCCTCTTATGTTCCTCCTTAAGTTGGTTATTAATGAAGAAAGCTCAACTGCAAGCACAAGCAATTGTAAGTGCAATAGAGAAACCAAATTTTGGAGGACATTTCTTTAACAAGTTAAATAATGAACTTAAAGGAGCTACAGGTGATTTAGATCCTCCCATCAATTTTATTTGGGCTGCACCAAAAATAATCTATGCATCTAGAACACATTCTCAACTTTCACAAGCAATGCAGGAGTTGAAAAGAAGTGCTTATAAACATACTAGTACCGCTGTATTAGGATCCAGGGATCAACTTTGTATTCACCCAGAAGTATCCAAAGAGACTAATAGTTCCAATAAAATACATATGTGTCATTCTAAAATAAAATCTAGAACATGTTTTTATTATAATAATGTTGAAACAAGGTAAAGTCTTTTAACATTTGGTACTCATAGTCGGTTCATATCTGAAATGCATTAATAGGAAACACATTTCTATAGGAAAGAAGATCCTTTTTTTAAACAGGAAGTATTAGATATAGAGGATTTAGTAAAAGCTGGACAGAAATTCAAGTGTTGCCCATACTTTTTATCTAAGGAACTTAAGCAGACTGCAGATATAACTTTTTTACCATACAATTATATATTAGATCCAAAAGCAAGAAGATCCCAAGGCATAGATTTGCAGAATAGTATCATTCTTTTAGATGAAGCACACAATATTGAGAAAACTTGTGAAGAAGCAGCATCATTCCAGGTGTTAAAATAATGCAATAATGTCTAAAATATACTAAGTATATATTAAGTATATTAAGAATAGGGAATATATGTTATGTCAAATTTAATATAACATTTTTGCAGATATCTAGCACAGATATTGCAATGTGTATTGATGAAATAACAGCAGTAATGGAAGAGATGGCTCATAGTATACAAAAGGAAAATGACTTTTTAATGGAAAATTCTGGGAATGTACAAAAAGATTTTACTGCGGATGATTTATGTATTTTAAAAGCTATGTTTTTAGAAGTGGAGAAAGCTATTGACTCTATAAAAATCATAAAACATAAAGAAGGAGACACGCTTCCTGGTGGCTATATTTTTGAATTACTTGAAAAAGCTCAAGTTAGTATTTATTAATAACATTTTGACTACATCATACATGTCTAACATATTTATTTTTGATAATTGTTTTTAACAGTTAACGCATGGTAAGGAACAACTAGTAATAGAGAAACTAGAAAAGATTGTTCTTTATTTAACAACTACAA